TCACAATAAACCCACCAGACGACAAGAAAACCCAAAATCCCCTGAAACAGAATCGCAGTCTCAACAACAACAACGTTTTCAAAACATGGCTTCAGTGAGCATTATATTTCTCTTGCCTTTTTTGACCAGTTTCAGGTGTAATAAAAAGCTGTCGTGTTTATGAAGGCTAAATCTAGGCCTTGTGAGTTAGTAGGAGGCTATATAATAAGGTAGTTTGTTTTAATTAGGAGTATGAACGTATAGTAAGTATGGGGTGTTTTCACATGCAGCGCGAATAGTTATAATATTTTCTCGTCTAGTTTTCTGTAATTATTTTGAAATATTTTAGGGTACGACTTTAAAGAATTGAATTGGTGTTTGGAGCAGTTAGGCTTGAGTGTTCATTACTAAGAGGGTGTTTAAAGCTCTCTATAACTTATTTTAAAGCGTACGTGACCGGCAGCCGGCACTGATTTCTAAAGTGCCGGTAGACACACTCAAATGGGGATGAAGTGCCAATAGAGTTATCTTACCTCTTGGCCTGATATTTCTCTTGCTAGACTTCCTATAAAAGGGAGCCACAAAGTTTGCAGTATTTACAAAAAAATTTCCTAACCAGGAGCCTTGCCATCCAATCATTGTATTTCTCTATTGGGGGCTGTACTCCTGTTTGCCATGGACTTACTCTTCTTGTGGCATAAATTGCAACCTGTTTTCTTAATTTGTGATGTCGTTCTGTTCTTGCACAGATTTTTTCTAATAGCAGCGGAAATCTGTCTCAGAATTCTTTGATCCGTTGATTTTATGCAGCCTCTGTTTGCATTGCCCGCTGTGTATGTATATAAGGTTTTCTAGTCAAAAGACACTCCTTTTTTTACAAAAGATACTGTACCTTTACATATTTCTGGAGAAACTAATAGTTAGCTAATAATACTTTCTTTTGTAATTCTGTAGAGAACTTCCACATTTCTAATACGGACAAAAATGGGAATAAAAGTATTTAGTGTATACTATATGCAGAAACCTATTATAAGGACAACTAGGAAAGACATAATATATATATGGGACATTGCAGGGCAATATTGTAAATATGATAATAGCAATAAATTACATCATTTTCATACAGTTTCCACTGGGCTCTACTCCCAACAACCAACTGTATAGTGGTATTACATTAAGATCCATCACGAGTTGATAGAGTGTCAACTTTGGCTGCTACTGTGACAGTGTTAATTTGTTTAGTGTCATAGGGATCCCTGAGGGTTACTATCAGTACTATTATTGCCGTTCATTTTCATGGACTAAAACAATTAAATCTGGACAGAAAATCAAATGCAGATCCAGAGAGCATTAAATTTTTGTTTGTTGCTTGGTTATTGGTAATGACTGTCTGTTAAAGCTTGGAACAGGCTCTGTATACAAAATGTATGTATTTGATGTAATAAAATGAGGGGAACATAACATTTTAAAGTAGTCTACAAGAATTATGTATACTATAGTTTAAACTTTTAAGAATGACTTTAATGTAGATCTTCTGTTTTTAGCATGGTGGTGGTGCAGGTGGAGGTGGTGTTGGCAGAGAGACCGTTGCTGCCGCAGGAGCCACCGGGCCTGGTGAGCGTCGAGAGGGTGGACCAGGGGCACGGAATGGAGAGCCAAAAGATAAGAAACGAAAGGAGTCCATTCTCGACCTCAGCAAATATCTTGATAAGGCAATTAGGGTGAAGTTTTCGGGTGGACGTGAAGCTTCAGGAATTTTGAAGGGATTCGACCAGCTACTAAATCTTGTGCTTGACAATACCATAGAGTACCTTAGAGGTGAGATTCACTATTCAATGTTAATCAATCTTTTGGTTTACTTGTATCTATATCTCTCTTCTCTCCCAGCCTTTCTTAACCCCTTGGTGCCGGGTGACGCCGATCGGCGTGTACACAAAGAACTCGAAAGCTGGCGTGCAGCCGAACGTGCCGGCGGCGCGCCAAAGCGTGGCGAGCCAGTGATTCGGGCTGATGTCCCCTACTCATGCGCTCAAAGTCGGCGCGCCGCCTTTGTTTGTTTAAGCGTAGAGTTTTTTTTTTTCTTTTGTACACCCGGCACCATTGGGTTAATGCCTGTATTAATGTCACTGACAGTAATATCTACCCCTTCCCTCTTCATCTCTCCCCTCTCAATTTCTGTCTCTCTCTGAGTTTCAGTCTTGCTTTGCCTCTATGTGTTTGTCTCTTTGCTCCTGTCTGTCTTTGTCTGTGTGTTTGTCTCTTTTCCTGTATACCTGTCTTTTTCTGTGCCTGTGTTCCTTGCTCTTGTTAATTGCCTGTCTCTTATGCTGTATCTTTGTCTCTAGTGATCTATTTGCATGGGACCCTCTCCTTTGTCCCACTTTTCCTTTTCATCCCGTCGGATAATTTTGGAAGAGATCTTTTCAGGTATCACATCAACATTTGTTACATTGATCTAATGGTGCATTTGATCTCTTTTCAGATCCCGATGACCCTTACAAACTAACAGAAGACACGAAGGAAAGAGGATTGGTGGTCTGTCGAGGAACAGCTGTCGTACTTATCTGTCCTATGGATGGCTGCGAGGCAATTGCAAATCCTTTTGTGCAACAAGAAAATTAAGCGTGCATGTCTGTGTTTTAAAAGGCATATTTGGTTTATTTGAGTGAAACAGAATGTGATAGAGGGAGGTTTCTTTACATCATGTGAAATTCCTATTTACATGTAGGTTTCTGTAATGAAGATAGATATTGATTTATGTTTTTTATGGGAATTGTCTTAGTTTGTCATATCACATTTGTTGTTTAATGGCTGTTTCTTAAGTATTGAATGATTTATTCAAACTAATGCAAAAAGTGGATGTTGAATGAAGGTATTTAATTTCTATTTGTTTCATGATAGGAATATTTTTTTTATACATGATAGTTGTTTTATTAAAAATCATTTGACTACAGGTTTTGTTTGATATACTGATACCTTTTCATGCATAGTTAACCAGGCCATTTGGATGCAATTCATATTTCTTGGAATATATTTAAAAGTACATTTATATTTCGTGAACAGGATTTTATTTTGAGTTTCAGGCAATTGAACAATATTAATGACTCCTTTCTGTTCTTCATTACACAAGTTCAGTAAAAAAAATTTAATGAGAATTGGTTACATTTAGTTTTTAGTTTTCAATTTTACATTTTCATGGTGTCCTTGAAGTGAGATTCTTTTACATTTGTGTATCTTTGTATCATCTTGTATTTCATATGAAAGAAATATATGAATTTTGAATGGTACAGTGTGTAGTTTTATTAATACTTACTGATGTCTTGATATGTATTTATATTTTTCATGTTTCATGTATTTTTCTGGAAGTTGTAGCAGTTTTGGGTAAACCATTTGTTCATATTAGTTTTACTTTTTATTACATTTTCTTGTTTTGGAAGGTTGTGAAGTAAATTAAAATTAAAATTCTTGTAAAAAAAATTCTAGTTATTGGAGAGTTTCAAGTTAGGAATGTGACCTTTCTGCAGAAAATGCTGTCTGTCACATATTTGTGGTTGACATATCTTTTCTATTTGTAGTATTAGCCATATTTATGAATAATTTTCTTGGCAACTAATATCAGTAATGATGACTGAGAACAAAACAAAACTCAGATTCAAAACTGGACTAGGAAGAATAAAATAATTTTTCATATGATGTCTGATTTCCTTATAAAACAGCAACAAATAGCAACACTACATGGCTTTATATTCACAAGAGATTGATATAAAGTATAAATAAAGTATAGTAAATGGTATGCTTGCAGTGCAGGATATTTCAACAATAAAACCAAGGAAGCATTTTTATCGTTTCTATATTTAATCTCCCAACTACAGACAACCAAACAACACTGTCTCTGACTCACTGATGACATTTTAATTTTTGCACTTGGAACTGCAAAAAAAACTCAGGATATTACAACATCTCTTTATTCTCAGAGATTCATCTGTTCTCTTCACATCATTCAAGATGAAAATCCTTTGACTCAGATTTGCAATTCCATGTGCAAGATTCAGCCAATTCTTCTGTCTGTTATTCAGAAGACACTAATAACAGAGAAAACACAAATTCACCATCAGTGTGTTACTTGTACCTAAATACATGTGAGTTTAATATACCTGTATTAAGGTATGCTGTACTTGTAACACTAGTTGGTCAAGAGATCAGTCAAATATCACATGGCAAGTCACCTAGCCACTCTTTAGGGCAGTTTCATGTATCTTATGCAGAAGAGGTAATGCAAACGAATGAAACTTATAACAAAAAATGGATACAAAGCCAGCGCTCTGTAGTAAAAAATGTTTTGATGATCTACGGTTAATAGCCTTGTCAACTAAACTCTTTCAATGGCATTAATGATATGGATATTAGGTATGAAAGTGATTATGAGATCCCAACCGTCACAGACCTAAGCAGAGTGTTAGGCATATCCACTGAAAAAGTGTAGTAAGCAAATGCATCTGAATGTGTATGTGAATAAGATGCCCCTCTCAAAACCGTAACCCATGGTAAGAATGTTCAAGCCAGTACAAATATCCCAATGACAATAAATATCCACTTTGTGCATGATTTTCCTTTTTTTTTAAAGAATGTGTGTGTACGTAAGCATGGATGTCGGTTCCCTTTCGCCAGAAAAGGGACTTGAGGTAATTAAAAACCACACCATATGCGATGACTGTAGGTAATTTACAGCGTGAATCACAACCAGCGTGAGCCTTATCGGTGCCTTATCCAAAAGCTGATCAACTCGCTAAAAAAAGAGAATGATAAAAACAGCCAATGGCTACAGAGCATTTCTCTTGCACCAGTTCACTGTCTTTAGCATCCTATAAAAGACACTCGATTCCTCCACCACAAGAAACTACAAAAGGACTCTATACCACATATACATAAAAAGTGTGTATAAGCAACTGAATCACGTTTCCATAGATGAACGACAATATATTAAGTATATCACAATATATTAATCATGTGTATCACAAAATTATCATCAACTGAATACCCATTTGTCATCCGACTAAATAACCACATAATAGCATACTCAATTATACATAAAAAAACGAACTATACACAACAATCTGTAACGCAATCATCACATACAGCCAGGTCAGTGTAGCCAGGTATGATTGCAATATGTTTATTTTTTTTCCACGACACAAGATGGTCATTTTGCAAGATCTAGATTTATCCATTCTCTGTTTCGTACTTTAAAAAAGAAATTGGGAAATCGTTTCGATAATCTGATTTCAGTTATTTTTGTCTTATGATATCGCAATCTCACCTGCTGCTACAACTGACTTCTCTCAGTAACTCAAAATGACTGTAAAATATTCTTTTAAACTTAAACAACTATCTTTTTATATTTTTTAATATTTTATATATATTTTTTATTTATTTTTAGACATCTTTGCAAAAAGGAACAATAGACTCCACTACGGCGGAGTTCTGTAAACGTAATGCATGTGCTATTTACACAGGGCAATAAATATTTCCTCTTCGTGCGTTCTCTCCCTGAAAAAGGACATATTTTGAGCCAAAGGATTGTATAGAACCAAATATAACTCCTAATACATAGCTCAAAAAAGCAGAATATGTAAATATATATATATATACATTCTTCAAAAGTTCCATAGCGATCGCGTTCAAGATAACGCGGTTATCTCGCGTAGCGTTTCTCTTCCGTGCGTTCGGGGAGCCAGTCGTTAACCGTCGTGGTTGCCATTAACGTCCTTGTACTCGGCGCAGTCCTGGCACTTGACTAGGCCGGACTCGTCGCAACTGGAGCACTTGAGAGCCACGAATTCGAGCGTCCAGTCGTTGCGGTGGACGGATTTTTTGGACCCGTTGCAGACGGTGCACGGGAGGAGACGGAAGCCGCCGCAGGTGTCGCACGTGCTGGCTGAGGCCGCGCGCTGTCGGGGGAAAGGGCGCTTTAGTGATGCTCAGTAGGAGGGCGTTCTTTTTCTCAATATGAATCACCCTTGTTTTTACCAATTGACTCAAGTGGCTGATACAAATCTTATAATCAGAGATACCGACTTTGAAGACAACAATTGCGTAGTCATCCTAACGCAAGATGGAGACAAAGGACTTATCTCTGTTGCGATATCTAAAATCTCACAACTGGGGGCTGTGGAAGCTTCATGGTGAAAAAAAGTAACCACTCACCCTGTACGGCTGAAGTAGACGACGTAATTCCCCGCATTCATTTAATCGCTCAATCTGCTCAGCATCCTGTATAGAAAAAGCCAAATGAATTAATGTACAACACAGTTAAAGAGAACCTTTTCTTCCAACATTAACACCATATGCTTGTAACGCCACTTTAAACTATTTAAAAATAATTCCCTGAATATCTAATAAATTATCATGGAGAATGAAATACAGCTCATAAATATCACCGCTTCATACTTCCTGTCCCCAACTGAAAAACAGAGAATCAAGTTATATTATCAATGACGAATCTCATACTCAAAAAAGTGCATGCGGGGGGCAAAGGAAAACAGAAAGCTATCCCACGTCGTGAGTGGCATCACCTTGCACTTTCAGAATGCAGGAGGATGTGTGACTCATGACGGGAAGCGAGGACGTCTGGCATGACTTTAAACGGAATGCAATGAAGAGAAACAAAGGAAGTGCCAAGATGAAGCTGAGACAACGTTGATGACAATGGCTTACCAAGGTACCAAGGACAGGAAGAACCGTAACTTGACATATAGAATGCACATTTCAAAACAATATAGTTACAAAAGAGACCAGTATAGTTTGGGTGAAAAAAACAGCAATAGGACGTTCTATTTCACAAACGTCAAAAAAAAAAACTAACAAACCCTGACACTGATGAATGGAAATCAGAAGCCCCAAAGTTTCAGTGTAAACAACACGGGGCCTGGAATTTTATAGCTCGGGGATCTTTCCCTTTGGTTTTACAAGGTCCCATCAATGTAAAACAATAAAGTATCTCTTTTGTTACATTTACAACATATAATCAAAAGGAAAGGAAACTAACGGAGGTTTACAGGTAATGCAAGTGCGGTTTTCTTCGCGCCAAAAAAAGGGTTGTTGAAAGACGTTTTTATGAAGTCACGTGATAGAAATTACGTAAATTAAAGAAGCAAAACACTTGAGTTTTTATAAAACGAGGAAAATTACCCTAGCCACAATCTCTTCCCAGAAAAAAAACTGTATCTTTGCAGTAGACAGATATGAGAACGTTCAAAATCGAAGAAGAGACCAAGAAAAGAGAAGAGAGAGAGAGAAAAAAAGATCCAATGTCTCCTACTCCTCCTCCTCCTCCAAACTTCCTCACTCCACACAAAAACACTCACCCCCAAGTACTGTCCCTCGAGGAATACATGTGGCACAGTGACCCCGCGGGCATGGAGGCGGTCGAGGAGCTGGATCTGGGTATCACGTGCCATGAACACGTCCCTTTCCTCAAAACGGACCAACAACGTCCATAGGATCTTGCGAATTCTTAGACAGCGTTCGTAGGTGTCACGAACGATGCCCAGTGTGGTGACGTAGACAACTACCTTTCCCCGCTCGCGTTCCATGAAGTGCTGGAGGAAAAGAAAAACAATTTTGTCAGGTTCATGATTTTGGGTGGGGAGGGTAAGGTTGTTATTATTATTGCTATTGTTGGTGTTTTTGTTATTGTTACAGTTACTGTTATTATTTTGAAGACTATTTTTTATTATTATTATTACTATTAGTTTATGGAGGGTTTTGATATTGATATCGGTGATATAAAAGGTTGTGTGAATGATGCTAATTACAACTGTGAAAATGATGCTTGATGGTGACGACGACGGTGGTGGTGTTGGGGAAGATGATGATGATGATGATAATGATGGTGATGATGATGATGATGATGATGATGATGATGATGACGACGATGACGATGATGGTGATGATGATGATGATGATGGTAAGAAATAATAATGATAATAATAATAATAATAATAATAATAATAATGATAATAACAATAATAATAACAAAACAACAGCAGTAATAATAATAGTAAGTAATAATAATAATAATAATAATAATAATAATAATAATAATAATAATAATAATAATAATAATAATAATAATAATAATAATAATAATAATAATAATAATAATAATAATAATAATAATAATAATAATAATAATAATAATAATAATAATAATAATAATAATAATAATAATAATAATAATAATAATAATAATAATAATAATAATAATAATAATAATAATAATAATAATAATAATAATAATAATAATAATAATAATAATAATAATAATAATAATAATAATAATAATAATAATAATAATAATAATAATAATAATAATAATAATAATAATAATAATAATAATAATAATAATAATAATAATAATAATAATAATAATAATAATAATAATAATAATAATAATAATAATAATAATAATAATAATAATAATAATAATAATAATAATAATAATAATAATAATAATAATAATAATAATAATAATAATAATAATAATAATAATAATAATAATAATAATAATAATAATAATAATAATAATAATAATAATAATAATAATAATAATAATAATAATAATAATAATAATAATAATAATAATAATAATAATAATAATAATAATAATAATAATAATAATAATAATAATAATAATAATAATAATAATAATAATAATAATAATAATAATAATAATAATAATAATAATAATAATAATAATAATAATAATAATAATAATAATAATAATAATAATAATAATAATAATAATAATAATAATAATAATAATAATAATAATAATAATAATAATAATAATAATAATAATAATAATAATAATAATAATAATAATAATAATAATAATAATAATAATAATAATAATAATAATAATAATAATAATAATAATAATAATAATAATAATAATAATAATAATAATAATAATAATAATAATAATAATAATAATAATAATAATAATAATAATAATAATAATAATAATAATAATAATAATAATAATAATAATAATAATAATAATAATAATAATAATAATAATAATAATAATAATAATAATAATAATAATAATAATAATAATAATAATAATAATAATAATAATAATAATAATAATAATAATAATAATAATAATAATAATAATAATAATAATAATAATAATAATAATAATAATAATAATAATAATAATAATAATAATAATAATAATAATAATAATAATAATAATAATAATAATAATAATAATAATAATAATAATAATAATAATAATAATAATAATAATAATAATAATAATAATAATAATAATAATAATAATAATAATAATAATAATAATAATAATAATAATAATAATAATAATAATAATAATAATAATAATAATAATAATAATAATATGTCTAAATACTCGTAGTTACACTTCAACAAAATAACACAAACCATGATTATCTCATTAATTCAGGTAAAAAAAAAAGTACTGTTGATTGACCAAGAATAGAACATCCCCCAGATCCCATCTATTTATTTATTTATTTATTTTCAATTCGAGGAAAAAAAAATTATTGATAGGAATAGAATCCTTCCTTCTCATTGTCTTCCTCTTCCCTCCGGCTAGCCAGTCCGGATTCCCGACCTTTCTCACTTTTTGACCGTAACTGGGCGTGGCTCTGCCCTCGATAACGTTATTTACTTGTGCTTACGTACATACCCGTGCAATTACGCGTACGTACATATATGCAAATGCGCAGACACATACAAGCACGCAAACACGATTGTACTTAAAATTATATAAAAAAAAAACGAATGTTAGAATGTATTCATAATTCCTCGATTCCTTAACCGACCTATTGGCTATAACGACCAATTTCGACATAGCGAAACATGCAATAAACACTCCTTATAGGCCAAACAAAGTCACGGCAGAGACACTGACATTTAAAAAGCAACTCCTGGCGCCCTACAAGCTTGTTTACGTGCGACAGAACTTGATGTGTGAAATCTTACTTAATCTTGAAACGGGTTCAATCGGTTTCTGGGCCAGTGCTCACGATTGCAACGCAAGGTATTGAGTCCAAATCAATTGTGGACCAATAAGAGGTTTTTTATCTTAATTACTTTAAATTGAGTTTCGTCTAATTAATTGTGATTAGATTGTTTCCTTTTGTTTTTTATTATATTCTTGATGTTGGACTGTTTCTCCTTTTTTATCGTTGAACGTCCGACCTCGCTTTGAACTTTCGAACACTTATTGGCGTGGTCGTGTGGGGGTGTGGGGTGTGGGGGGGGGGAGGAGTAGAGGTCGTCCACCTTTAGGCCACCCGCCTCCGACGAACAAGGTCAAAGGCGATAAATGGTGGCATTGTAAGGTCACACGTGTCAGGTCGTGAACTGTGGTAACGTGACCTATTGGCATTTTTTTTTTTTACAAGAGGGTTTTTGGGGGTGTTGCTTCTATCTCTTCTTTTTCTTTTTATGATTCTCTTCTCTTTTTCTTTCTTTTCTTCTCTCTCTCTCCAGTTCAATTTTCTTTTATCCATCCCTCTCTTATTTTCCCTTTCCCACTCCTCCCTCTTCCACTCCCTCTCCCTCTCCCCCTCCCCCTCCAATTCCCACTCCCTCTCCCCCTCCAACCCCCACTCCCCCTCCCTCTCCCTCTCTCTAACAAGTTCAGAATACCAAACTATCGTAAAGGCCAGGAGCGTAGGAGGAGAAGGAGAGAGAGAGAGAGAGAGAGAGAGAGAGAGAGAGGGGGGGGGGGGCAGGGGTTACTGGTCCACGTGCGCCCTCCTCCCCTACCCCCCTCCTTCTCCTCCTGGGTATCATGACATGTGAGAGTAGCTTTGAAAATTTGTCTTGAAAATAAGTATGATCATATTACTTTTTATATATAGCGACGAAGGTGATGGATTTTATAATAAAGATAGCATCATTGTAACATCAGTAAAGATAACAATAATGACAATACTAATAGTGATAGTGGTAGTAGTAATGATAGTCATGGTGATTATAATAAAGGTCATGATTATAATAACAATAACCCAATAATGATATTTTCAATGAAAATTTATTATGATGATAATGATAATATTAATAGTAATAAGAATACGAATAATAGCGCAACTATTACTGATGATAATAATAGCACCAAGATTTAGGCCAAGGCTAAGAACTGGTATGAAAAAACAAAATGAAAATAATAACTAATAAAAATCAAAATGATAAAAATAACAGTAATAAAAATGAAAACGACAATAATAACAACAATAAAAACAATATTAATACCCTGTAGTCTTCATCTCCATGCTACTTTTAATTTTTTCACGGGGACAGGCATATATGTCAGGAACCGTAACCCGTAGGATAAAACCCCAGGGGGAAAATTCTTCCCACCGAGAGAGACAAGAGGGCGCCCTGTTGGAGGTGCCCCAAAATTCCTGGTTCACTGGCTCACAACGGCGCGCCTGCATCTCTCGCCCCGAGCTGGGTGACGTCATCGAGGTATGGCCAATGACGTACGAGATTCACACATGACGTCATCGGGGTAGTGCCAATGACTTACTAGATTCACACATAACGTCATCGAAGTAAGGCTAATGACGTACGAGATTCACCCATAACGTCATTGAGGTATGGCCAATGACGTACGAAATTCAGACATGACGTCATCGAGGTAAGGCCGCTCGTTGAGTGGTTGTTAACAAGGTCTATTTAAGTATATGTATAAATGCTTATATAGACCTTGGTTGTTAAAATTTGTAGTTCAGTTTTTCTAGTTCGATTTATGATTTTTTATTTGATTTAACGATATTTAACGTCGTTTCTTCAAATGAGCATGGATTGGATGTCGCTTAATATGCCTATTTAATTCCATTTAATAACACTTAAAAGATCGAGTACAACGTGTCATCGAGGAAAAGCCACCGACAAAGATCACACATACACATGAATAAATAAATATAAATGTATACATATTTATATAAATATATGGATACATTTATATATGCATATATACATAAATATATATTAATACACACACACACACACACACACACACACGCACACACACACACACACACACACACACACACACACACACACACACACACGCACACACACACACACACACACACACACACACACACACACACACACACACACACACACACACACGCACACACACACACACACACACACACACACACACACACACACACACACACACACACACACACACACGCACACATACACACACATACACACACACACACACACACACACACACACACACACACACACACACACACACACACACACACATACACATACATATACACACATATACATATTAATGAATAACACTAGATCCATATAGTGTGTGCTGAGACTGACTGGTAAACAAATAAAAATAATGACGGACAAATACAAATAGCTAGATGAAATATTGCTTGGGACTTGAAGGCACATATATAATTAATGAGAAACCAGAAGATTAAGTAATTCTATTCATTTTGATGTGTTTTTTTTCTCTTCCGAATCCATCCTCATCCACACATCACGCACGTGCACCCACCTTCGTCATGATAGAAAGCCTAATTGTACATTTATCCGCGTCACTGTGGATATGTGTGTCTCTCCTCTCCTGTGTGTGTTTTTGTGTAGGTCACAGATACAAGCACACACGCTTATACACTCACAAATACACAAACAGTTTATGCAGTTCTATTTTGCTCTAGAGGGCAGGCATAAGTTCGTAGATTTTTTTTTTAAATGAAGATTACTGAAGTGACTGTTTACATCATTATGCGATCTATCTTTTCATTAAGGGCTTTTTTTAGGATCCATTTTTTTCGTTCGAGGCTCATCAACATCGCTTGGCTAGTCTTGAATGGCTAAGTGTCTTGACTTAAGCCACTCACAGAATCCGAAACCTTTTAAGTCTATTGGTGCCTCCTGGCTACTGGTAATTCGATGTTAATTAATGTTTTCTTCCTCTTGTTTAAAAAATGACAAAAACAGTTCTTTAATCGTCACACCTGACACCCACGAAGCGTATACGGATATATACATACTCGTCTTTTCTTCCTTTTTTAGTTGTCTGTCTGTTTGTTTGTCTAAATTGACTGTTCTCTCTTTGTTTGTCTTTATCTGTCTGGCTGTCGCTTTCTCTCTCTCTCTCTCTCTCTCTCTCTCTCTTCTCTCTCTCTCTCTCTCTCTCTCTCTCTCTCTCTCTCTCTCTCTCTCTCTCTCTCTCTCTCTCTCACACACACACACACACACAAATACACACATATACATACACACACACAGAGGTAAACACAGACGCACTACATAGCAACATCGTTCCGGGTGAGAGCATGAATGTAGCGGATTTCGGCGCTGTTTTGTGGTTTTGTGAAGTGGGGAACGTCATGCCTCCAGGTGTTGTGAACGCGGGCAGGGGAGGTGAAGGGGGGAGGGGGGGAGAAGATGTAGGGGGGAGGGGGGAGGGGGAAGAAGATGTAGGGGAGGGGAGGGGAGGGGGAGAAAATGTAGGGGAGGGGGGGAGTGCGGAGATGCCTCCAGGTGTTGTGAATAGAGGGCGTGGGAGGGGACGGGGAAGATGTAGGGAAAGAGAGAAAATGTAAAAGATGTAAAAAAAAAAAAGTAAGAGAAAGGAGGAGGAGGAGGAAAAGGGAAGAAATAGGAGAATAGGGGAGGGGAAGAAACAATAGGAAGAGGGGAGAGGATGAATATGCAGGGCAGGGGAAAGAAAGAGAGGAAATGTAGAGGGGTGGAGAGAAAGAATAGATATGTAAAAGAGGGAAAAGCAAAGGAGGGAGAGGAAAGAAGAGAAAGGAGGAGGGAAAAAAATGGAGAAAAAGAAAGAGGGGGAAAAGAGAAGAAGATGGAAATGTAAAAGAGAGGAAGAGAAAGGAGGAGGAGGAAGGGAAGAGAAGAGAGGAGAGAAAATAAATACAGAAAAAAAAGAAAGAAGGATGAAGATGACGAAGGGGAAAGAAACTGAAGAGAGGGAAAAGAAGATGAAGGAGATATAAAGAAGAAAAGATGAAGGAGATACAAAGAAGAAAAGAAAGTAGAAGGAATAGAGAGGGGGAGAGGGGAAGCCAGCATGATAATAACAGTTTAAGGTGTGTGGGCCACTAATTGTCCATAGTGATGGTGCTAAAATAGTTCCAGTGGATGAAAGGATACGGTAAGGAACAATAAACAAAAGAAAGGAAGAGATAGAGTATGGGAAAGAGGAGAGAGAGCGAGAGAATAAGAGACAGTATGTGTGTGTGTATGTGTGTATGTATGTGTGTATGTGTGTGTGTGTGTGTGTGTGTGTGTGTGTGTGTGTGTGTGAGAGAGAGAGAGAGAGAGAGAGAGAGAGAGAGAGAGAGAGAGAGAGAGAGAGAGAGAGAGAGAGAGAGAGAACAAGACAACCAGACAAAACAGACAGTCAGACAAACAAACGGACAAAGACAGACAGATAGAGACACAGACACACCAGAAGCAACACAACCACAACAACAACATCAACAACAACAGAAAACGTCAACACAGGCCAGCAACCCCACCCCCACCCCCCTCCCCCCCAAAAAAAACGACAAAAATATCCCGTTTTCTACGAATCCCCGAGAACACTACCCAATACCCAGAGTCTGACTGACCCATTGTATGCGGCCACTAGAGCGCTGTGCAGTAACGGTGGTGGTGATGACTTGGTGGCTAGACTACTGGATCGAATATGGTAATGAAATCTGACCGTAGCGTGGGTAATGTGGCTGTTAGATTACCTTCAGTTCATATGGTGGAGATACTAATGGATTTTCATATTATTATTGCATGTGATCTGTCGGTTCGTATTTTAACACGTGGAAGGCCAAGGTGACAGTCTTCAGGTCAGCCACGGGAAGTGAATCTACGTCGGACGGCAAATGTTACCTCAAGTAGATAATAAAAAAAGAGAGATAAACTTGCCAAACTCGAAAAACTATTTTTTAAGGTTTCAATATATTGTCTGAGTTTCTGCGTCATGATATTGATTTGTCGTGTACCAGTTTTTCGTTATTTTCTCTAAACCTAAATGGTACGGCTTGAACATATTTTGATAACTTCTGTATAACTTAGATATATGAAAACGAGAGAGAGAGAGAGAGAGAGAGAGAGAGAGAGAGAGAGAGAGAGAGAGAGGAAGAGAGAGAGAGAGAGAGAGAGAGAGAGAGAGAGAGAGAGAGAGAGAGAGAGAGAGAGAGAGAGAGAGAGAGAGAGAGAGAGAGAGAGAGAGAGAGGAGAGAGAGGATATATATATATATATGTATATATATATATATATATATATATATATATATATATATATATATATAAAGAGAGAGAGAGAGAGAGAGAGAGAGAGAGAGAGAGAGAGAGAGAGAGAGAGAGAGAGGAAGAGAGAAAGAAAGAGAGAGAGGAAGAGAGAAAGAGAGAGAGAGGAAGAGAGAAAGAGAGAGAGAGAAAGAAAGAAAGAGAGAGAGATAGATAGCTAGAGAGAGAGAGTAGAAATTCCAGCACTCAGATACAACAGCAGCCTCATTTTCGAAATTCCTTCGAGAGAGGAAGTACACCTGAAGTGCTTATTACTGTAAGGTCACAAGAGAAGCATGTTATTCCTTGACCCTACTAGAGTGAAAACGAATCTTGTATCTTATTATTTTTTTCTATCTCCTTTTTCTCTGTCTCCGTCCCTTATCTCCCTCTACTTCTTTCTTAATCTCTCATTTTATGTCCTGTTTTTCTTTTCTCTATTTATCTCTCTTTTCGTCTGTCTATTCACTTCCCTCCCCGTTGTTTTTTTCTCTTCTTCACCTCCTTTTCCGTCTTTCTTTCTTAATATTTTCATCTTTCTCTTTCACTCTATGCCTCTATCTTCCTCTACCATTTATTCTTTCTCTCTTCCTCCCCATCCAACTATTCTCTCTTTACCTCATTCAAGCATTCTCTCTCTCTTCTCTCTCTCCCTCCTTCACCCTCCCTCCCTCCTTCTTCCTTCCTCTCCCTTCCTTCCACCTTCTCCCTCCCTCCCTCCCACCCTCCCTTCCTCTCCCTTCCTCCCACCTTCTCCCTCCCTCCCTCCCACCCTCCCTCCTTCTCCCTTCCTCTCCCTTTCTTCCTCCTTCTCCCTCCCACCCTCCCTCCTTCTCCCTTCCTCTCCCTTCCTTCCACCTTCTCCCTCCCTCCTTCCCACCCTCCTTCTTCCTTCCTCCCACCTTCTCCCTTCCTTCCTCCCTCCCTCACCCTCCACACGAGACCAGTCATGCCCGAGTCGACACCATGAGTCTGTAGTCTCCACAGTACCGTCAAACGCACTGCTGCCATATGGAACACACAAAAACAGCCTGGATCTGTGGGTCACGGGGACGAAATGGTGTCGCAACCAACACGTGGCATCGGCGGCGGGTGTCCATTCCCGTCCATTCGTTTTTATTCGTGTCCATTCGATTTTATTCGTGTCCATTCCCGTCCATTCGTTTTT